GGCCTCAGCCCAGGGGAAGAGAGAGCGAGCTCATGGCCTGGCTCATATATTTATATCCTCCCTCAGCATGCACCAGCGGCCTAATCCTCCCACTGGATAGGCTGAAATCTCACACTATGACCAGTGACACCAGCGACACCCAGAAATCACAACCCTACCGAGTTTAGGGAAGAGTGAAGAACGACATGATTAGTGGCCGGCTGACTACCACCCGGCCAAGAACTCCATTTGGGCTAGCAGCCCCTGTTTAGGACAAGGACTTAAATGTACAATATTTATAGTTTTCTAGTTTGTGATTATTAAATCTGATATTTGGAACTTTCTTTTCCATCCGTTTCCTGACCCTTCTGATGGAGTTACTTCTTTCTAAATAAATAACTTTAATTCTCTCTTTACCAAAACCTGCAAGAATTCCCTTGGATCTCACGATCGGAAAATGTAGGCCGTTGCTTGACGACTGGAGGAGGGTGATCATCGACTGCGGTTTTCTTTCCTGGATGTATCGTTCACCTGGAAGGGGCCCGGCTCAGGGTCACCCTGGACTATTTTTGTTTGGGGATTTGAGATAACATCCTGCGCTCCGTCTCATGAGTTTGACAAATCAAGGTTGATGGTTTCCAAAGACAAAGCGATTTCTGACCCACATGGGGGTGTGTTCGGCCGTCATCACAATGCTGGCTCTTCACAAATCCTGGAGTCGCTCTGTGCGTTGTCTGCTTTCAGCTTCAATGAATGTTCCTGAGTGACAGAAACACGGCCGATCCAGTGACACCGTCCTGTGAAAGTGGTTGGAAACCCTTCCATGTCCTCCGTGCCGGGACAAGGTCACCTATAGCCCGGGGAGAACATGCCAAATCGCACCCCCCCTAGATGTATGAGCATTATGTGTCATCAGAAATCCCCCCCCCCCCAACAAAAATGGAGCACTACCCCCTAAGCAGAAATTCCCCCATTTCACAGTACAAATCTGCCCCCCTACTGTGATCCCCCCTCCCAGCACAAATCTTTGCCACCCCCCCCATCCCTCCATGGCTCAAATCCTCTCTCTCCCCATATGCCTCCAGCACAAATCCCCCCCCAAAAAAACATTTCCCCCTCCTAGCACAAATCCTATACCCTTAAAATTTTCTCTCCGAGCACAAATTCTCTCCTCCCCACTTCAAATCCCCCCCAGCATAAATCCCCCTCAAATTTCTCCTCTGATCACAAATCCTCCCCTCACAATCCAAATCCCCCTCCCTGCATAACTCCCCCTCAAATTTCCCTTCTGAGCACAAATCCTACCCCTCCACACTCCAAACCACCCCCCCCCTGCATAAATATCCCTCAAATTTCCCCTCCAAGCACAAATCCTCTACCCCCCACCACTCCTATCCCCCACTCCAAATCCCCCCTCCCAGCACAAATCCTCTACCCCCCCCACCTCTACCCCAGCATAAATCCTCTACCCCCCTCCCTGCATAAATCCCCCTCAAATTTCCCCTCCGAGCACAAATCCTCTACCCCCCGCCACTCCAGAGCCTTCTCAGCATAAATCCCCCTCAAATTTTCCCCTCGAGCACAAATCCCCCCCCCCACTCCAAAACTGCCTCCCTGCATAAATCCACCTGAGATTTTTCCCCCAATCGCAAATCCCCCCCACCCACTCCAAATCTCCCCTTGCAGCATAAATTGTGGCATTGTGGGGAGCGTTGGGCGAATAGCCCACTGAACTCCCTTAATGTTCATGTGTGCGCCAAACACACAAATGGCCGATGTTCAAGTCGAACTTGCATAGGACACGCCCCCTGCCACGCCCCCTTAAAGGAGAATTGTACACAAAAAAATGATCAGACAAGTGTGTGTTTTTATCTCTACTATTCTTTTTCAAATTTACAAATGCAACAATTTAGAAATTGGATGAATGGTTTAGCGCTGGGAGACACGTTTTGATAGCTAAGTAGTGCATTTTATATACAACATTAGAGATCAGACTAAAATGAGGGCCAAAAGAGGAGAAAAGACGGACAGAGGGACTGTGGTCCAATTGAGGGACAGTTCCTCGAAATCAGGGACAGTTGGGAGCTATGCCTTAGCTCAGGCAGGAGGGCGTGCTTAGCTGAGAAAGCCCCTCCTCTCATGAAGACTCTTGGGAGGTATGACATTTTGGCCTAGGCCAGAAACCAGGAACTAACTGAAGAAATGTAAAAAAAAAAAAAGTATAAAACGAGTAAATATAAAAAAGAAGGCGCCTCTAAGTGTAGTACTGACAGATTTATTCACGTACAAAGTTACAATTCCACTTACAAGAAGTCTGTTGCTCCTGACTCTATGAAGAGCGGCCCCGGCGTCTTTCTGAATCCCCATTCCCTGCCATCCATCCTGGCCCTATCATAGCAGCCATAGAGGTCTGGTCCCAGCAGGAGCGCCCTATGGACTCTAAATATAATATCTATCTATAATATCTATTTACAAATGCTGGCAGCAGAAGGAGCGACAATAGTTCATGTTGATTCAGTTCCGCTTTCACTCATCACCTCTGCTGTATAAACATCATATCTCCGCATGGCCACCAGATATCTCAGGAGGTAGATCTGTTTATTGGCTCTGATATTAAATATTACCGAGGCAAATAAACAGATCTCCCTCCACGGATCTCCGGCGGTGAGCAGAGGTCTCCAGGGCAACACAACGCATTTCCAATTCCAATAAGATCATATAAACATAATAACAGAAAAGAAAAATGATAAAATGATGCCAAAACAAGTACAGTAATGTGCCCCGTCTGTGCCATACAGAGACATATGTACATCGCCAGGATAATGACATTAGAAAATGGAGAAAAAGTGGCAACAATAAAAATAAAATAGGATTGCAGACAGTGCGAGCGACGGTGCAACCGAAAATGACAAATGACTGAGAACCAATGTAATGTCATCCCTCAAGACCTTTGGTATCCAAGTGATGAATCCGAAGGCTTCCATTCTCGTAGCCGGCATTATATACAAACCTCTTTTACTTGATTTTATTTCTATTGTTCACACTTTTTTTGTGTGTTTTATTATCCTTTTGATGTACTTATGACTCTGCGCGGCACTTGTGATGATTGCACGCTATTGTGTTCGTGGTCCCGTCTATTACCATCATTTTAGCATTCTGATTTGATATGTTATTATGTTTCTAGCAGCTTATTTGCATTGATATGTTGTGTGGCTTTCTGGTGAGTGTTGAGGTTCATGTGCTCTGCAGCTGATAAACTGACGTTCAGGAGCTGTTGAGCGTTTTTTTTTTCAGCAGGCCCTGAACCCGGGGCGGACTGGACAACTATAGCAAAGAATAAAAGGAAAGAGCGCACCAACCTTGCGCGTTACCTCAGTACACAGTAGATGAGCTCTGCAGAGTGTTATTTCAGCTCTCCGCCCCCTTTTTGTATGACAGCTATGACAAGCTTTATAAATTTTGGGCTTTGCATGGATGTAAAGAAGAGAAGGCTGCAGATAAATGGGTACAACTTATGTAGTAGGATTTGTTTCACCTCTGTGTATCACCTGAAGCCGGTCACTTCACTGGGGATATGGAGGGTTTACAACCACTTGTATTGCCACTAATATTAATGCAAGAAAGGCCTCGTACTGCTGGATGAAAAAACATATCAACTCTTCTCACTGAGCTTTGCAGAGCTTAACTTCAGCTCTCCGCCCCCTTTTTTCTGAACTCTCAGACAAACTTTAAAGTGGTTGTAAAGGCTGAAGGTGCATTCTATACATGAAGGTAAAAACCTTCTGTTTGCAGCAGTGCCCCCAGCCCCCCCAATACTTACCTGAGGCTCACTGCAATCCAGCGATGTGCATGACATCCTTGGCTGTCCCGGATCTCTGCTGCCTCATTGGCTGAGTCAGCAAGCAGGAGCCACTGGCTCCCGCTGCTGTCAATCACAGCCAGTCAGCCAATGAGAAGAGAGAGGGGGCAGGGCCAAGCCACAGCTCTGTGTGTGAATGGACTCACGGAGCAGCGGGTGCCCCCATAGCAAGCTGCTTGCTGTGGGGGCACGTGACAGGATGGAGGGGACAGGAGAGCCTGCGGGGCACCCGAGAAGAGAAGGATCCAGGCTGCTCTGTGCAAAACCACCGCACACAGCAGGTAAGTATAGACATATTTGTTATTTTCCAAAAAAAAGAACCTTTAGAATTGCTTTAAATATTCAGCACTTTGAATAGATGTAAAGAACTGCAGATAAACAGGTACAACCTATGTAGGTTGTTTCATCTCTGTGTATCCCCCACTGCACTGGGGATATGGAGGGTTTCCAGCCACTTTAAATGTTTTTATATTACAAAAGGGCTTCTTATCCCATTTAAGTTACAATAATTCATCCAGCCGCCCTCCAAAGGTCCTCGACTGACTTCCATTTATATCTGAAATATGAGTTTGTAGAATGATTTCCTAAAGTGAAACAAAAAAACCCAAAAAAAAAACCACAAAAAGATTTGACCCAAACTAATACTCGCTGCCGCTCCCCCTTATAGGATCCCGTTGATGCTGAGTAACTGTTTTGTGTTTTTTCTTTTTCACAGAAGAGCCGTTGAGCGAGTTTATCAGGAAAACCATCAGAAACTGGAAGATGACAGAAAACATGAAGTCCTCAAAGTGTGTGCAGTCAGGGAGTCCGTTCATTACGTTCGTTTATATCCGTTCCTTACTGTGTTTAGTTATTATTACAGATATTTGTGTAGAGCTGTCAGTTTACGCAGCGCTTTTTATATATATATTACATTCACATCAGTCCCCGCCCCCGAGGAGCAGACAGTCTTAGGTCCTTAACTCACATTCATACATACACATACTAGGGACAATTTAGACACTACATTGCCTAAAGTACTGGACCCGCCCTCCAAATCATGTGATTCGGGTGTTCCAATCCTTTCCATATCATGTGATTCAGGTGTTTCCAATCCCCTCCATATCATGTGATTCAGGTGTTCCAATCCTTTCCATATCATGTGATTCAGCTGTCCCAATCCCCTCCATATCATGTGATTCAGGTGCTCCAATCCCCTCCATATCATGTGATTCAGGTGTTCCAATCCCCTCCATATCATGTGACTCAGGTGTTCCAATCCCCTCCATATCATGTGATTCAGGTGTTCCAGTCCCCTCCATATCATGTGATTCAGGTGTTTCCAATCCCCATCCATATCATGTGATTCAGGTGTTCCAATCCCCTCCAATCATGTGATTCAAGTGTCCCAATCCCATCCAAATCATGTGATTCAGGTGTTCCAATCCCCTCCATATCATGTGATTCAGGTGTTCCAATCCCCTCCATATCATGTGATTCAGGTGTTCCAATCCCCTCCAATCATGTGATTCAAGTGTCCCAATCCCATCCAAATCATGTGATTCAGGTGTTCCAATCCCCTCCATATCATGTGATTCAGGTGTTCCAATCCCCTCCATATCATGTGATTCAGGTGTCCCAATCCCATCCAAATCATGTGATTCAGGTGTTCCAATCCCCTCCATATCATGTGACTCGGGTGCTCCAATCCCCTCCATATCATGTGATGCAGGTGTTCCCATCCCCTCCATATCATGTGATTCAGGTGTTCCAATCCCCTCCATGGACACAGGTGTATACAATCAAGCCCCTAGGCATGCAGACGGCTTCTACAAACATTGGTGAAAGAATGGGTCGCTCTCAGGAGCTCAGTGACTCCAAGCGTGGTCCCGTGATAGGTGGCCACCTGGGCAATAAGTCCATCCGTGACATTTCCTGGCTACTAAATATTCCACGCTCAACTGTTAGTGGGATTATAACAAAGTGGAAGCAACTGGGAACAACAGCAACTCAGCCACCAAGTGGTAGGCCACGTCACATGACAGGGCGGGGTCAGCGCATGCTGAAGCGCACAGTGCGCAGAAGTCACCAACTGTCTGCAGAGTCAATAGCTAAAGACCTCCAGACTTGGTGTGGCCTTCAGATGAGCCCAACAACAGTGTGTAGAGAGCTTCATGGAATGGGTTTCCATGGCCGAGCAGCTGCATCCAAGCCTTCCATCACCAAGTGCAATGCAAAACGTCGGATGCCGTGGTGTAAAGCACGCCGCCACTGGACTCTAGAGCAGGGGGATGTGTGTTCTCTGGAGTGATCAATCATGCTTCTCTGTCTGGCAATCCGATGGACGTGTCTGGGTTTGGTGGTGGCCAGGAGAACGGTACTTGCCTGACTGCATTGTGCTAAGTGTAAAGTTTGGTGGAGGGGGGATTATGGTGTGGGGGTGTTCCTCAGGGGTTGGGCTTGGCCCCCTAGTTCCAGTGAAGGGAACTCTTAAGGCGACATTTTGGACAATTTCATGCCCCCAACTTGTGTGGGAGGAGTTTGGGGATGGCCCCTTCCTGTTCCAACATGACTGCCCACCAGTGCACAAAGCAAGGCCCATAAAGACATGGAGGAGCCAGTTTGGGGTGGAGGAACTTGACTGTCCTGCACAGAGTCCTGACCTCAACCCCATAGAACACCTTTGGGATGAATTAGGGCGGAGACTGCGAGCCAAGTCCAGACTTTGGTTAAAAAAAAAAAAGGCTAAAAAATGCAAATGCGTAAAAATGCAGGAAAATTCAGCTAAACTCTAATGCAAAAACGCTAAAAAAAGCTGAAACACACATTTTTAACGTGACTTTACACAGCTAACGTTACCAGCGTTATCAAGACGCCCCCCCCCCCCCAGTGTGCATGGAGACTACCTGCCCCCCCAGTGTGCATGGAGACTAACTGCCCCCCCCAGTGTGCATGGAGACTAACTGCCCCCCCAGTGTGCATGGAGACTAACTGCCCCCCCCAGTGTGCATGAGGGCTTAATGTTAAAGCTTTAATTGAGCAACCTGAAGTGAGAAGCTGTTTGGTTTCTATGCAGAAGTGAGCCTGATATTAGTAAATAAACCCCATAGCTACATAGTTAGTCTGGCTGAAAAAAGACACAAGTCTATCTAGCTCAACCAATAAAAAAAGGAGAATAAAATATTATACTATATCCTATATACACAATCCTATACCCACAGTTGATCCAGAGGATAATAGAATAAAATATATGAACAAAAAGTAAAATAAAATAATAAAAATAACAGAAAAAAAAGTTACATAGTTAGTCTGGCTGAAAAAAAACAAAAGTCCATCCAGTTCAACCATTAAAAAAAAAAAAAAGTTATAATCCTCCACCCACAGTTGATCCAGAGGAAGGCAAAAAACCCAGCAAAGCACGATCCAATCTGCCCCTGCAGGGGAAAAGATACCTTCCTGACCCCCCCGAGAGGCAGTCGGATATTCCCGGGATCCACTTTCCCTATAAATGTTAGTAACGAACATTTTCCCATCTCACTTTATTTTCATCTGTTAAAAGTGAGAATAATAAACAAACAACTCAAAATTTACAAATAAACATTTCTGACATTTAAAAAAAAAATATCAGTGACAATATAGCCCCTCCCCTTTCAATAACAATCATAGTTACATAGTTAGTCTGGCTTAAAAAAGACAAAAGTCCATCCAGTTCAACCATTAAAAAAACAAAACAAAACAAAAAAAAGTTATAATCCTCCACCCACAGTTGATCCAGAGGAAGGCAAAAAACCCAGCAAAGCACGATCCAATTTGCTCTTGCAGGGGAAAATTCCTTCCTGACCCCCCCCGAGAGGCAATCGGATATTCCCGGGATCAATAATCGGATATTCCCTGGATCAACGTTCCCTATAAATGTTCTATCCAGTTATATTCTGTGCATCTAAAAAGAGCCTTTAGTATAAAGAAAACTAATGCAGCCACCGCATCTAAGGAAAGGTAATAGATACGTTCTGGATTTAGATACATTTAACTCGGATATTCGCAGTGAAGAAATGTCACCCTCCATGCGGACGCAGTTTCTAAGCCCTCCGTTTATCTGCAGCCCGCAAGCCGTCCTCGCCGCCATGACACAGATTAATATATAATAATACAGCGGGAGGGAAAACATAACATTCTCCCGCTGAGGAACACAATGATAAATAATAGACGACGTCCCTCCCCCCCCCCCCCCCCCCCCCCCGGTACACACAGCAGTCTGGTGACATAATAGACACTTTACTAAAGGACAACCTTTGCCGCTACATAATGTCAAAGACGCAAACCGTCTTCCTGTAAGATGTGTTGTTGGAACGCCGCGGCCTTTTATGTTGCGCTAATGTAGAGTTGTGAGACGTCGCATTAAATTGTTATGGAGTCGTTTGTATTCACTTTATAACTCGTTCTCATTTAATGACACACATCTGTAGAGTGACTTTAGTTTCTCCCCCCCCCCCCCCCCCCAGAAATGGTCCCAACGACATGAATGGGTTGGTGTTTTGTCACTAAGGGCCTGGTGATGGATTCGTTTACCAAGCGCTGCCCGGGCGATTCGGTTCCATTTAAATCGGCCGTCCCAATTCCGGGATCGTCCACACATTTACCTTCATCACATCTGATTTCCTGCTGTCTGCGTCTTTTGTTCAGTGAAATCCGAATCGCAATATATTTAACCCTTTCGTTAACAGGGCCGTTTTTGCAGGGTTTTTTTTTTGGACGCGTATTTCAAAGACCATTTTAGGCCTGAAGTTAAGTTTGAATCCCCAAATATTTAATAAAAGTGGAGAACCTGGAGATAAAGCTAGTGGTAGTTCCACTCTTTTAGGTTGCACGACACTAAAGTTAATGCTAGGGCACACAAATGTAATATATACACATTGGGAAAATATAAAAGAAGAGGTTGTACCGAGTAAATAGATACCCAACGTGTCAAGACGTAAAATCGCGCTCATTGACACAGCAACAAACTTCATCACCTTATATTTTCCATAGACAACACTTTAAAAGCCCCTACAGGTCATCAGTCTAGTTACCCAATAATGATGAGCCTAGATACATGATATTGCCCCAAGTATTGGTCCACCGGCCTTCCCACACACATGGCCTGTAATGGCCCCCCAGTCTTAGTCCGTAGGGTTCAATATTGAGTTGGCCCCCGCCCTTTGCAGCTATAACAGCTATAACAGCTTCAACTCTTCTGGGAAGGCCCCCCACAAGGTTTAGGAGGGTGTCTATGGGAAGGTTGGACCATTCTTCCAGAAGCACATTTGTCAGTCAGGCACTGATGTCGGGGGAGGGGCACTGATGTCGGGGAGGGGCACTGATGTCGGGGGAGGAGGCCTGGCTCGCAGTCTCCGCTCTAATTCATCCCAAAGGTGTTCTATGGGGTTGAGGTCAGGACTCTGTGCAGGACAGTCAAGTTCCTCCACCCCAAACTGGCTCCTCCATGTCTTTATGGACCTTGCTTTGTGCACTGGTGGGCAGTCATGTTGGAACAGGAAGGGGCCATCCCCAAACTCCTCCCACAAAGTTGGGAGCATGAAATTGTCCAAATTTCCCTTCACTGGAACTAGAGGGCCAAGCCCAACCCTTGAAAAACACCCCCCACACCATAATCCCCCCTCCCCCACACCTTTACACTTGGCACAATGCAGTCAGGCAAGTACCATTCTCCTGGCCACCACCAAACTCAGACACGTCCATCGGATTGCCAGACAGAGAAGCATGATTGGTCACTCCAGAGAACACGTCTCCATTGCTCTAGAGGCCAGTGGCGGCATGCTTTACACCACGGCATCCGACGCTTTGCATTGCACTTGGTGATGGAAGGCTTGGATGCAGCTGCTCGGCCATGGAAACCCATTCCATGAAGCTCTCTACGCACTGTTGTTGGGCTCATCTGAAGGCCACACCAAGTTTGGAGGTCTTTAGCTATTGACTCTGCAGACAGTTGGTGACTTCTGCGCACTGTGCGCTTCAGCATGCGCTGACCCCGCCCTGTCATGTGACGTGGCCTACCACTTGGTGGCTGAGTGGCTGTTGTTCCCAGCTGCTTCCACTTTGTTATAATCCCACTAACAGTTGAGCGTGGAATATTTAGTAGCCAGGAAATGTCACGGATGGACTTATTGTCCAGGTGGCCACCTATCACGGGACCACGCTTGGAGTCACTGAGCTCCTGAGAGCGACCCATTCTTTCACCAATATTTGTAGAAGCCGTCTGCATGCCTAGGGGCTGATTGTATACACCTGTGTCCATGGAGGGGATTGGAACACCTGAATCACATGATATGGAGGGGATTGGAACACCTGAATCACATGATATGGAGGGGATTGAAACACCTGAATCACATGATATGGAGGGGATCGGAACACCTGAGTCACATGATATGGAGGGGATTGGAACACCTGAATCACATAATATGGAGGGGATCGAAACACCTGAGTCACATGATATGGAGGGGATCGAAACACCTGAGTCACATGATATGGAGGGGATCGGAACACCTGAATCACATGATATGGAGGGGATCGAAACACCTGAGTCACATGATATGGAGGGGATCGAAACACCTGAGTCACATGATATGGAGGGGATCGGAACACCTGAATCACATGATTTGGAGGGGATCGGAACACCTGAGTCACATGATATGGAGGGGATCGGAACACCTGAGTCACATGATATGGAGGGGATTGGAACACCTGAATCACATGATATGGAGGGGATGAGAACACCTGAATTACATGATTTGGAGGGGATTGGAACACCTGAATCACATGATATGGAGGGGATGAGAACACCTGAATCACATGATATGGAGGGGATGAGAACACCTGAATCACATGATTTGGAGGGCGGGGCCCAATACTTTTGGCATAGTGTATATATATATATCCTGCGTGTGTGATGATGTAATGTGTACCACAATCGACACTGTTGTGCGTAGGGCACCCTGTGTGTGCATTTGCAAATGTATGTGTGTGTATGTGGGGTGGGGGCTCAAGCATTTCTTTTTTTTTGGGGGGGTCACGTTGATTAAGCCTTGCTTTGCATAAAACCTGTTGGGGGTGTGGCTTGGGGTGGGAGTGAGCGAGGTGCTGCCATTGCAGTAAACCTTGGCTGGAGTTGAACATCTCATTTGGATGGTCTCTTGTCCCGCATTTCTGGCGGCAGAGGAGAGGCTTTAACAGTCACACCGCTCACTTATTCATCTCTGGGCGGCTTAGATGTCAGCAGTGACACTGTGAACAAGACTGCGCGCCGAAACGCGTCAGTTTGCTTTTTTTTCTCGCTCCTGTATATTCAATAAAGATCCTCGCATGGATTTTGGATTTGCCGGCTCCCTCTATCAGTTTGTATTGAACCCAGTGGTTGGAGGACGCCGTAGAGCCAGAGCGCCCGGGTTTGGATGCCATTTATTAATTACAGGTGCGCTTCCCTGTGAGCGCTGCTCTTGCATTCTGTGTCCATTTGAAAGCGCGCTGTGTGCTCCCGGGACAGACGCAGAGCCGTCAGAGACTGAACTACGATCAATGATTGGGAATGGGCAGGACTAGCTGTCGATGTGACCACTGTGACTGCTCTCCCTGCAGGATCTCACGGCCTATTATGGATCCTCGTTACTCCATTCCTTCTATCATTTTGAACGGATAACTTACTGTATTTACTTTTGCGCTTTGGTTGTTGCAAATTCTACAAGAGGCCGAAGTCGGATTCGGATTCTCACACTGCTTGCATTAAAAAAAAAAGTTTGCTATATTAATGATTTGCATTAATTTGTGTCTTTTATATCTGCTTGGACTTTAGTTGTAGTTTTTGTGTTTAATCGATGGCTTTACTGTCCATACGGTAGATTGCCAAATCATTATTTGTATGTTTCCTTTCTAGAACGCCTGGAAGGAGAACGAAGCTCACCTGAGAGATGAGGAACAGAAAGGTGAGAGTTAGCCAATGAAATGACTACAAACACATTTTGCTGCACTCTGGTCCACCTCTCTACTACACTTGGCACCCTGGCAGTACCATCAGGGCTGTCTTAATGCATGGCAGTGCCCAGGGCCACAGGTGTATGGGGCCACTATGATAATCTTGCATTACATCATACTTGCCAACTGTCCCGGTTTTGCTGGGACAGTTATGCTTTTTACTAAGCTGTCCCAGGATGGCCCGGGCAGCGTCCCAGGATGACTGTACTGTGCTCTCCTGATCCCGGTATTGTTCCCTCCTGACCCCACCCCCTACTGTGACTCCATTGTGCCGAGAGAAAGGGGAATATTAGTTTCATGCATCTTGTCACATGATTGACATTATGCACCCTGACGTTTTTACTGCACCCCCAGATCAGATAGGCTAGATCCGGACCTGGTGACATCACCAAATCTTCTGAGACCAGCAGTCAGAGGTAGTAATGCCATGGGTGATCTCACACTGCAGATATCCAGCTAGGAGGCTCCAGCCACAAGAGTGCCTAGGCACCTCACATACCAGGAAGCACCCTGACGTTTTTACTGCACCCCCAGATCAGATAGGCTAGATCCGGACCTGGTGACATCACCAAATCTTCTGAGACCAGCAGTCAGAGGTAGTAAATGCCATGGGTGATCTCACACTGCAGATATCCAGCTAGGAGGCTCCAGCCACAAGAGTGCCTAGGCACCTCACATACCAGGAAGCACCCTGACTTTTTTTACTGCACCCCCAGATCAGATAGGCTAGATTCAGACCTGGTGACATCACCAAATCTTCTGAGACCAGCAGTCAGAGGTAGTAATGCCATGGGTGATCTCACACTGCAGATATCCAGCTAGGAGGCTCCAGCCACAAGAGTGCCTAGGCACCTCACATACCAGGAAGCACCCTGACTTTTTTACTGCACCCTCAGATCAGATAGGCTAGATCCAGACCTGGCTGGTACTGGGCTGCTTTTTTTCAATGCTTCTGATTAACACAGCCCATGAAAGGAGCTTAGATTTGCACAGCCTCCCTACCGCTGAGCAGAACAATAGAGGCAGCCATTCTCCTGCCGGTTGGGGCCACTCACACATACTCGCCCCCTTTGTACCGGGATCGTTCCTGGGCTCTGCTGTTACGTCTAGCTCAGGAGTTAATTAGACGCTCTACTAATAGTAACAACACAGCCAATTAAAGATAATTACCGGTGGCCATATTAACCCCCGGCAGGAGAAGGCTTCACTAGTGATCCGACTTCGGGTGAAAGGGCGAAGATGTGTGAACATACAACAAGTCGCAGAGCCTTCCAGGAGAGCAGCAATATCCAGGACTGATCTCCTAATTGCGTGACTCCGGAGTCGGCTTCGTCATTATTTTCTTGGCCTAATTGCTGCTGCGGACGTCTGCTTGGCATGAGATGGAGATGGGTTATTGCAGCGGCTCGTGCGTTGTGTTCGGCTGTCAGCGGGCAGAGATGTGTAATAACAAGTATATTGCTGATCTTCCATACTGTACTAACGGGGGCAGAAGAAATGGGGAACTCGTATTTGTCTACTCATGGAGACGGTCATCTAGAAGCAATTAGGAAAAGTCGGAGTAATGGAAACAACAGGATCCCGGACAGGACTGTACAACTGCAGGGACTTGAAGGGGAATGGCAGATGATGCCGATATATAAAGAGACATTGAGGCTGATGTATGAAAGGCAAATAGACTGAGCACTCTGCAGTTGCACTCCTTTTCCCCAGAGCTTAGTGAATGAGGTGAAGAACTTCATACAGTCATGTGCAAAGCAAAAAAATGCCTTCTTCTCATGTCTGATTCCTGTTTGTCCCCTTTCACGCAAGCGGACCGGAAAATGGACCGGATCGGACACTCCATTGCTCTCTATGGAGCGGCGGGTGTCTTCTGCACCCTGTACATAGCGCACTCCTGATTTCTGCACCCTGTATGTAGCGCACTCCTGACTTCTGCACCTTATGCATAGCTCACTCCTGACTCCTGCACCCTGTATGTAGCAGACTCCAGAGTTCTGCACCCTGTACATAGCACACTCCTGCACCCTGTACGTAATGCACTCCTGACTTCTGCACCCTGTACGTAATGCACCCACTCGTAGACTCCTCCTGCACCCTGTACGTAACACACTCCTGAATTCTGCACCCTGTACGTAGCACACTCCTGACTCCTGCACCCTGTACATAGCACACTCCTGCACCCTGTACGTAATGCACATCCTGACTCCTGCACCCTGTACGTAGCACACTCCTGAATTCTGCACCCTGTACGTAGCACACTCCAGAGTCCTGCACCCTGTACGTAGCACACTCCAGAGTCCTGCACCCTGTACGTAGCACACTCCTGACTCCTGCACCCTGTACGTAATGCACTCTTGACTTCTGCAACCTCTGCGTAGCCCACTCCAGAGTCCTGCACCCTGTACGTAGCACACTCCTGACTCCTGCACCCTGTATATAGCACACTCCTGACTTCTGCACCTGTACGTAGCACATTCCTGACTCCTGCACCCTGTATGTAGCACACTCCAGAGTCCTGCACCTGAATGTAATGCACTCCTGACTCCTGCACCCTGTACGTAGCGCACTCCAGAGTCCTGCACCCTATACGTAGCACACTCCTGACCCCTGCACCCTGTATGTAGCACACTCCAGAGTCCTGCACCCTGAACGTAATGCACTCCTGACTCCTGCACCCTGTACGTTGCCCACTCCTGATTTCTGCACCTGTACGTAGCACACTCATGACTCCTGCACCCTGTACATAGCGCACTCCTGACTCCTGCACCCTGTATGTAGCACACTCCAGAGTCCTGCACACTGTGTCCAGAGTAATGTTAGCACACTCCAGAGTCCTGCATCCTGTACGTAGCGCACTACTGACTCCTGCACCCTGTACGTAGCACATTCCTGACTCCTGCACCCTGTATGTAGCACACTCCAGAGTCCTGCACCCTGAACGTAATGCACTCCTGACTCCTGCACCCTGTACTGCACCCTGTACGTAGCGCACTCCAGAGTCCTGCACCCTATACGTAGCACACTCCTGACTCCTGCACCCTGTATGTAGCACACTCCAGAGTCCTGCACCCTGAACGTAATGCACTCCTGACTCCTGCACCCTGTACGTTGCCCACTCCTGATTTCTGCACCCTGTACGTAGCACACTCATGACTCCTGCACCCTGTACATAGCGCACTCCTGACTCCTGCACCCTGTATGTAGCACACTCCAGAGTCCTGCACACTGTGTGTAATGCACTCCAGAGTCCTGCATCCTGTACGTAGTCCTGACACCTGCACCCTGTACGTAGCACACTCCTGACTCCTGCACCCTGTACGTCCAGCACATCCTAGCTCCTGCTCCTGTAGTTGCATCATGTACGTAGCACACTCCTGACTCCTGCACCCTGTATTAGCACACTCCATTAGTCCTGCACCCTGAACGTAATGCACTCCTGACTCCTGCACCCTGTACGTTGCCCACTCCTGATTTCTGCACCCTGTACGTAGCACACTCATGACTCCTGCACCCTGTACATAGCGCATCCTGACTCCTGCACCCTGTATGTAGCACACTCCTGACTTCTGCACCCTGTACGTTGCCCACTCCTTCCTGATTTCTGCAAACCTGTACGTAGCACACTCCTGACTCCTGCACCCTGTACGTTGCCCACAGTATCTCCTGATTTCTGCACCCTGTACGTAGCACACTCATGACTCCTGCACCCTGTACATAGCGCACTTCCTGACTCCTGCACCCTGTATGTAGCACACTCCAGAGTCCTGCACACTGTGTGTAATGCACTCCAGAGTCCTGCATCCTGTACGTAGCGCACTACTGACTCCTGCACCCTGTACGTTGCCCACTCCTGATTTCTGCACCCTGTACATAGCAC